GTCAGAACAGTTTCACCTCAATTTTTGTAAATATTAATATCAAATTGGTTTTGAATTTTTCGTTTATTGTTGCCTTATTCTTGTTGGAAATATTAATCTTATTCTTCCATTTGAGATCTCTAAAGTTTTGTGGCTTATTAGATTATGTGATTATATCCATCTATATGTCCATACTTTTTTGTGTTTGCTCATGAAACTTACTAATTAATTTTTCTTCAGATTATTGGACGCAAGATTAATCCAAGGACACAAACTTTTTTATACTGGTAAGCCATTTAATTTGAAATTTGTGAGTTTTGGTGCATATAGATACATGTTATGAAGTAAAATGATTAAATGAAAATATCTAAATGCAGTGCCAAGCCACTCAAGCGAAGAGAGCCAAGGAATGAAGCAAATGAAATCCCAAATCCTTAGTCCTAATCCCTAAATCGTGCTTTAGTTGTTCTCTCTCAGTTGTGCTTTTATTACCATTACCATAAATTTGCTAAGGATAATATGGTTCTTGACTCCATCCTGTTAGTGTTCGAAATTATGCTAACATACCTTTTTTTTTTTTTTTTTTTAAATTCTTGGCATCAAAATTAGACAGGAATTGAATTGCCAGGCCCATATTACAGTTTAAGATTTCAATTTAATGAATTTAGGTTTACAGACATTTTTTGGGCTATAGAATATAACCTTTTCGTGCATTGAGATACTGTAGTTTTAGAAAAATGGCAGACAATCCTAATCTGGATATATGTCCTTATAGCTTTGTGGCCTTAAAATAATTAATATTAAAAAATTTAATAAATTTAATATTATTTCATTTATAAATTAACTGCTAAATAATACTACACTACACATTGATAAATATTTGTGGCTTATTAATATTAAAAATTTCTTAACTTCAAACCCTAAAATTAAATTTTTTTGGGTTAGCGTTTAGGAAAAACCCTAAAACCTGGATTTAGGAAAACCTTCAATTTTCAAAAGTTGATTTAGGACAAACTAAACCCTCAACCTTAATCCAAACCCAAAAATTACTTTTCTTAACTTAAACCACAATTTTTTTAAAAAAATATTAACTTAAACCCTAAAATTACTTTTTTAAAATTCTCAAATCCCAAACCATTTTACAAAAAAGCTTCTTTCAAACTATTTTTCTTTGTAAACAAACAAGCTTCTTTCAAACTATTTTTCTTTGTAAACAAACAAGCTTCTTTCGATCTTCTTTCAAACTATTTTTTTTTTTGTAAACAAACTATTTTTCTTTGTAAAACTTCTTTCAAACTATTTTTCTTTGTAAACAAACTATTTTTCTTTGTAAAAGGAAATCCTACTGTAGTTTATCTCAGCAAAAGATAAAAGCCATGCAACCTGTTCACACTAAAACTAAAAATACCGTTAATTTATTTCAGAGAATATTTTTTTTTTCATCAGCAGAAGACTAAAAACCATGCAACCTGTTCAAACTAAATTAAAATTAAAAATCACAGAAAACCATTTTTTCTTTGTAAAAAGAAATCCTACCGTTATTTTATTTCCGAGAGAATATATTTTCTATTATCAGCATAAGACGAAAATTTATATAGATAATTAATGAAGATACAATGGGTAACCAAGCCCATATATCCCATACATAAGTAACTTTTTACTCATTACAACACAAATAATTTTTAATAATATTTAAAAAATATTACCTAATTATGTATAAATATTTATAAAATTTTTAACAACTTAAAATTTATTTATTTTAAATATAATTATCAGTTATTATATTTTTATGCCTTCTAAGCTTCTAGGAATTTTTTAAAAGAAAGTTGAAGACATTTTTAATTAATCTCTACTAATTATTTATCAAATTTCAAAATTCATTTATCTTAAATATATCTTAAATATAATTATATGATTATATATATTTTTTATGCATCATTTATCTATTCGATGTGAAACTTTAATTATAGGTAATAATTAGAAATGAGAGAAATATTTTTTTTATTTGATGTGGAACTTTAATTTTAGAACCAATTAGAAAAAATAATGTTAAAATAAAAAATATTACTTATATGTAGTAACATTTTTCAAAAAAAATATTGTAAAATAACTAATATAACATTTTTTTATTCGATATAGAACTTTGATTTTGCTTTAAGAGAGTTGACTGAATCTATTTATAAACTTAAGACACGAAAGATAAAATATAAACTAAAGTACTTAAATGCTCCTTCAGTCAAGTATAGTTTTCCACCATACATTTACCCTGTCACAGGGCACATGACTAGACTTAAAGCGAATTCTTTTGTGATAAGGTTTGCAGGAATTCTTATTTTCTTTTGTTTTTGTGATAAGGTTTACAGGCATCCTTATCTTCTTATTTCAATCTTCTTTTTTTTCTCCACTTTTTTTTATTTGGAGACTAATATTTCTTCATTTTCCTCGGCTTCTTGCATCTCGGAGGATCCTGCCATGGATTGGTTATCTGTTGGAGTTTGTTGCCCAAAATTTCCGTTTGCTTCATAAATCTCTTTATGCCTTTTTTCTTTTTGGAAGAGTTGAACTAATTTATTATTGTTCTCCATTGGGAAAGGTATGAAAAGCTTCCCATTTTTTGGAGGTAAATACAATTTTGTATAATGGATTTCTTTGATAAGGTTGTATTCTGCTTCGTCAATTTCAAAGAAAAACCATTGATATCTCATGACTTAAGCTCGGTATAACACTACAAGAAAAATGTAAATTTTCGATGGAAAATTTTCGACAGATATAGATCCGTCGAAAATTTCCGACGGATTTATACTCCGTCAGAAATTTCTGACGGAAAAATAAATTCGTCGAAAATTTCCACGGAAACTTTCCGACAGAATATTCCGTCAGAAATTTTCGATGGATTTATTTTTCCGACGGAATTTTTCGTCAGAAATTTCTGACAGAATTTTCCGTCAGAAATCTTATTTTTAATTCTTATTTTTAATTTCTTTTTTTAATTTATTATTTTTAATTTCTTATATATATTTGTAGTATTAAAAATTTTATATATCTTTTAAAGGTATAAATATATATTATAATTATTTATTACAAGTTTTTTATATCTACGATTAGTATTAAAGATGAAAATAAATTAGGTTATACTATATTTTATTATAATTTACTTGGTTTGAACCTAACTTTCTTTAAAAATATATATTTTAAGTATGACTTATTTATCTATCATAGACAATTTTTAAATGTTTGGGTAGAACTACAATTATAAAGATTTATTTTATAATAATTTAATACTATTAAAAATATAAAAATAAATATGTTAAATTTATAAAAACAAAGTTTAATTTATTTATGATATAAATATGTTTTTAATATCTAATATATATTTTTAGATGATAATTTATTTTAAAATATATCTTATAATAACAATTCTAAATGGAACATAAATCTTATGATTTTTCTTATTTTAATTTTTTTAATCAATGTTTACAAAGTGGGCCAAAACTGATTTGGCAGTGATGTGGCATAGAGGGTTGCTTAAGCAACTTCCATTGCAGATGCTCTAAGATCTTCTCCTATGATACTGGTTTTATTAAGCCTATCAATGATTTGTTAATTAGTATCAAAAGTTATAACTTTATTAATTTTTAAACAATTATAACAATCAATATCCATTTATATTAAAAGATAACTCATAATAACTACCAACGTTACTATGGTTATTAGTGTCTAAGGATAAAGATTTAGAATTTTTATAAACTTGAACTTCCGTTTCTTTAATCTTACAACTACTAGTGATTTCGCAAGACACTCAATATTGTTTATCCTCAATATTGTTTATAGGGGTATCACCATCCTTAACTCGTAACTCTAATGCAAGTTCATTTAAGATGTTGGTGACATTTGTACATTATTAGACCTATTTTCAGTTATTATAAAATATTTTTCTTTCGGTGAATCAAGACAGAGTCCAGGCATCCATAATCCAACAATGTTTTTTATTCATGGCCATGTCTTCAAAAGCTATACAAGCCTAAAATTTTTCCAGAACAAGCTTGGCTTTTCTGAATAAAAACTTGATCTTGAAAAGACATTTTTCATTAGTTATTTCCTTGCATAACGGAGTTTCCTCCGGGCATTCGAATTTTCAGTTGAAACAACTTTGAACCAATACATATGTACCTGCTACAATTTGAGGATCTTTATGATTTGAGGATCTTTATGAACCTTCATCAGAAATTTTTGTATCACCAATTTTTTTTTTTTTGAGATTTAATTCATTTGTTAATGTTGGATTTTGTCTTGCAGCCTCTTGATTTTGAAAAATAATTAATATAACATTTTTTTTATTTGATATAGAACTTTAATTTTAAAAATAATTGAAAATAATAATATTAAAATAAAAATATTATTCATCTATAGTAATATTTTTCAAAATAATATTATAAAACAATCTATTTATTTAAAATATTTTCAAAATAATAATATAAAATAATTTATTTATTTAAAATATATAATAACGTTTTAATAAATGTAAGATTTCAAAATAATGTTATAAAATAATCTATTTATTTAAAATATATATAATAACGTTTTAATAAATGCAAGAAAGAAAACGTTGTTAAAAATGTAGTAGTGACCTGAACCTTTAGCCCCCATAAATAAAGAATAATCCCACTCAACAAAAGTTGAGTTCTCTCACTCAACACAAGTTGTGTTTCTCACTCCATATATATATATATATATATATATATATATATTTTACCTTTTATAGCCTTTGACCAAAAAGTTATCTAACATCTAACTTACCATATATACATCAATTTTGACTGATTCCAAAAAGCTTCACCAACGTCTTCATTCACCATGATTTAATGATAGAAGAAACTAAAAAAGTGATCGTGAGATCACTTCACTCTCCACATTTTTATAATTAATTTTATTTAAAAATTCTCCCTCCATAATTTAATATTTTCAAGCATACATATGACAACAACCTAAAAGAAAGTGGGAAACAAAAAGGCCATACGAAATTATAAAACAAGGAAGCTAAATCATAAAATGGACATTGAAAATACAGAAAAAAAAGATTCTAATTCTTGAATAGTGGCTAGCACATTGCACTGAAAAGACATTACAACAAGTGATGACGAGTTTCACACCACAAAACAATAAACGAAAACACAAATAAAAATATAACTAGACAAAGAAAGAGAGAGAACGGATATGATGGCGTGCATGCGGGTGCAGGATTAAGAAGCCTGTTCTCCAGTGATTTGCTGCTGTCCGTAGTCTTTGATCTCACGCGCCTTCTTGACGAGCTTGTGACGCGCCGTGTCCAATGGATGCTTGCCAGTGATGTACCTGTAGATCCACGCTAGCACCGTGATCGCGGCCACACCGAATCCGCCAGAGGCCAAGAACCCTAGGCTCAACAGCGCCACCGCCATAACCGCAGGGACAAGAACCGGACTGAATATAACAAACAGCGGCGTGACGACGGTGAGAGCAACAACGGTGCCGGCAAGGATGAGCGCGGCCACTATCAAGAGGGAGCC